GGAGTGTTCGAGGACCAGGTGGAAAGGACAATTCATGTAAATAAATTGAAACATTATCATGCTAGAGAGGAATTAGAACTGCCTTCAGCGGGTCTAGTTCCTGACTCAGCAGTGCTGACTCATGGCTTCACCGACGAGTCAGAAGATGAGGATGACCCTCTGTCATCGCTCATCAGTAGTCAGGTGCAGTCTCGCCACCCTATGGTGACGAGATCTCGCGCTGTACAGTAAAGTAACTTCCCTAGTTAGTATAATTTAGTATTCATTAGATTTTCCTGTAAAGGCAATGAGATGTACTATGTCTATACTTAACTCAGGTAGCAACTTTTACCGTGCTCTGGGGTTCCACCTCCACCAAACCCAGAGTATATCTATGCTTCCGCTGTGTTGTGTCTGTCTGTTCCCAGGTCTGATTGGTACACCGACCCAGTTGTTCCAGCCACACGTGAACCCTTGTCTGTAAAGACCGAGGGGGGAGGCACGTTACACAAAGCCCTCCCCCCACTAGACCCAGTAACCCATACATCAGTTACTTTGGGGATGAGTGACTGTCCAAGAGTCACCCGGCCGACGCCTCACGTCACTAACGAGGTTGTCAGGGCCAGCGAGCTGTCCACACTATAGCAGTCACCGGAGGTGCCATACAACGCCGGGGTAGCTGTCTCGAGATCACCACTACCCACCTGCTGCGTCATCAAGACTGCAGTCATTCCAGCAGTGTTGGAGGAGAGGTCAAGAAATGGAAAGCACGTAGCAGTACTCAAGAATTTCGCCGGAAGATTAATGATTACGTCATCTGAAGTAACAAGAAAGCAGAAGTAAGGCGGTCACAGGTGGAAGGCACGGTTTCCCTACAGAGTACCGGGACTCGCCAATAGAAGGTCGCAAAATTGTCTCCTTTGGCCTAAAGTCGGCGGTACGAGGGTATACACAGTTGGTGTTTACGGCCTAGTAACCTGGTGACATCAAGAAACGCCTGAGATGACGTGAGCAATGATGGAAAACGAGATTCACCTGTTCTGCAAACAAGCAACCCGCCTCTACGACCTTCTAACATCACTCCTGCTAAGAGACACCGTTGGTACATCCAGTTCTGCTCTGCTGTGGTCATCTGCGACAAGTTTAACATCAAGACTACCGTGTGAACTGTGATTGATACGAAGGCGTGTGGACTGTCGAGATCAAGATTAATGGCCGAAGTAACAGTATTCTACAGCTGTCACTTGGCACTCCGCTCTACTACACTCTGTCGTCATTCAGGAGTACCGGATGGGAGTACAAGAGGACCAGGTATTGATGTCTACACATGAGAAGAAGCAAGATCGACACCGTCATCGTCAGCGACTACATTCAGCATCCAGCAGCATCGATTTTTTTTTTCGATTACTCAATATGAACAATTGATACAAAACAACAAAGTGGCTCTGAACATCTGTGTAAAGAACATCTGGACACTTTTGTTTAAATGTTGAAAAACAGATTTAGAATCAATACTTTATAAATGTTGAAAAACAGATTTAAAATAATAATTCGGGTATAATATATGAATTTTACTCTATAAATTGGTCAGTAATCAAAATCGAAGCCCCTGTGTAATTGTCTCAGCCCAGAACAAACGGTTATGGAAAATTATGTTGTGCTATTTTTTTTTCAGAATGTTTGAACACAGGAGAGGCGGACCAATATAAACATTGACACTTCTAGTGAGTGAGAACACTTGGCTGTACAGTCAGCTGAAACCTGTGATATAGTATAGGAATTTTTTTTATTTTAGATACATGTAATAAACGTTAGGTGTGTTCCTTGATGGGGAGTGGTTAGTACACGGATGAGTACCTGATAGTTCCGTAGTACGCTCCCGGATGACTGAAAGTTCAGTCTGATGATATAACTTTAATGTTTGTTTGAGCACGGTGTGGCCGGCTCTAGAGGACACATGGACTTGGCTAGTGAAGAGCCAAGAGAGTTTAATAGCTAGTTTTTGATGGTAGAGTAGGGACATGTTATTTAGCTATGTCAGTAAGGGTAGGATGTATGTTTCCTGATATTAGAGGATTGCTGTCAGTTGACAGCTGAGAAATTTATGAAATATGAACATGTTCATTATGATGTTGGACTATTATTTGTCAAATTTTATTAGTTAGGTTAGCTTTTGTTTGTGGCATGAGTTGAATTGTGGGTTTGGATACTAAACCTCGTGAATTTTAACAAATTAACAAGGTTTACTAAGTGCTTGTGCGGGGGGGTTGTAACAAACTAGGCTGTTGTAAGAATTATCCAGAGTGGTTTATCGACAAAAGAGAATGGGAAGCTGAGCCGCATGGTGACCTGACCCCCAGGGGAATTCGCGGTGGAAATAACCGACGCTTTGTTCATATCTGCGTATAATGAATCATCCTATAGTATTCAGTAATTTAGAGAAAATTAGCCTTTATTCATTTTGCATTAAAATTGTATTGTATAATAGTACTGGATACAATATCAAGAGTATTCTAATTATTGAGTTTAAGTCACCATCAGTGACGTCACGAATCGGATCTAACTTTTAAGGCGGAGTGACCGGCGGTCATAGGTCAGCAGGGTTGACATGTCTAATATTTCTCAAAGTTTTAATAACCATTTTTGTGATCGGGAACAGCTTTGCCGTTAGATGTTTGTGTAATCTAATTAAAGTAAAATAATTCAACCAGTCTGGATCAATTCAGTACAAACAGAGGTTAATTGTTATAACTTAAACCTTGCTAGGAACTGGGTAGAACTTTGTCTAGGCGGAAGGATACAATACTCTGTCTGGGGTAGTCCAGACAAGGAAAAAAAGCAGTGGGGTCACGGAAGCAGCTAGGAGAGGTCAAACATCTTACCTCTCCCCTAGACCAGCCAAGACATCTAGCTGGTAGCCCAAGGTATAGTTGCTATTGTTAAGTATAGAAATAGTCTCATTTGCCACTCAGGTCAAGTAGGGAGTGTTAAAGTGATAGGGAGTGAACCTATTTAGATTTTGTTTTAGTTTTCGTTTAATAAATTAAATTTGTTATTAATTTGCATTTTATTGTTTCCATGTGTTTTATGTGTATACTGGTCCTGGTCACGTGGTCCACACGAGGCAGAGTTGCATTGGGCGCCGATTCTAACATCGAATCGGAATTATCATTACCGTGTAATTTATTCCACACTCAAGGTCATCGTTTATAGTGGGGATCAAGCCCCTAGGTTGATTAATTAGCGTGATCGATCCAGACCTCGATCATTGCTCTTGTATTACTGGTCTGGTGGTGGCAGCAGAGGTGACTCTAGGGTTTTGTTCAGAGCTTAGGTCACGTCATACTGGGTGTAGAATCCTAAGTCGGTCAATCGTCTTAGGACCACGTGGCGTGGAGTTGGCTTTGGTAAAAGTTTTGGAGTCCCTTGGTTTAGAAATAAAAGTAAGAATACGGGTAGAGGGAGTAGAAAGAAGGAAGTAAAGAGAGAGGACCCAAACCCGTGTTACAACAGGATGAGTGACGCTGCCCAATACTGTCACTATGGCGGTGTGTCCACTCACAGGATGAGTGGCGCTGCCCAATACTGTCACTATGGCGGTGTGTCCACTCACAGGATGAGTGGCGCTGCCCAATACTGTCACTATGGCGGTGTGTCCACTCACAGGATGAGTGGCGCTGCCCAATACTGTCACTATGGCGGTGTGTCCACTCACAGGATGAGTGGTGCTGCCCAATACTGTCACTATGGTGGTGCGTCCACTCACAGGATGAGTGGCGCTGCCCAATACTGTCACAATGGCGGTGTGTCCACTCACAGGATGAGTGGCGCTGCCCAATACTGTCACTATGGCGGTGTGTCCACTCACAGGATGAGTGGCGCTGCTCAATACTGTCACTATGGCGGTGTGTCCACTCACAGGATGAGTGGCGCTGGCCAATACTGTCACTATGGCGGTGTGTCCACTCACAGGATGAGTGGCGCTGCCCAATACTGTCACTATGGCGGTGTGTCCACTCACAGGATGAGTGACGCTGCCCAATACTGTCACTATGGCGGTGTGTCCACTCACAGGATGAGTGGCGCTGCCCAATACTGTCACTATGGCGGTGTGTCCACTCACAGGATGAGTGGTGCTGCCCAATACTGTAACTATGGCGGTGTGTCCACTCACAGGATGAGTGGCGCTGCCCAATACTGTCACTATGGCGGTGTGTCCACTCACAGGATGAGTGGCGCTGCCCAATACTGTCACTATGGCGGTGTGTCCACTCACAGGATGAGTGGCGCTGCCCAATACTGTCACTATGGCGGTGTGTCCACTCACAGGATGAGTGGCGCTGCCCAATACTGTCACTATGGCGATGTGTCCACTCACAGGATGAGTGGCGCTGCCCAATACTGTCACTATGGTGGTGTGTCCACTCACAGGATGAGTGGCGCTGCCCAATACTGTCACTATGGCGGTGTGTCCACTCACAGGATGAGTGACGCTGCCCAATACTGTCACTATGGCGGTGCGTCCACTCACAGGATGAGTGGCGCTGCCCAATACTGTCACTATGGCGGTGTGTCCACTCACAGGATGAGTGGCGCTGCCCAATACTGTCACTATGGCGGTGTGTCCACTCACAGGATGAGTGACGCTGCCCAATACTGTCACTATGGAGGCGTGTCCACTCACAGGATGAGTGACGCTGCCCAATACTGTCACTATGGCGGTGTGTCCACTCACAGGATGAGTGACGCTGCCCAATACTGTCACTATGGCGGTGTGTCCACTCACAGGATGAGTGACGCTGCCCAATACTGTCACTATGGCGGTGTGTCCACTCACAGGATGAGTGGCGCTGCCCAATACTGTCACTATGGCGGTGTGTCCACTCACAGGATGAGTGGCGCTGCCCAATACTGTCACTATGGCGGTGTGTCCACTCACAGGATGAGTGGCGCTGCCCAATAAACTCGCCCCTCGGGTCAAAAAATGTAAACAATTGACTCAATATTAACATTATCCTCACCTGAATAGTGCCGTGAGTAAAGGGTAAGTCCCCCCTGGATACGGCCGCCCCGTTGACGAAAACGGAGCTTCCATACACATTAAACCTCAATTCGTGACCCAGCAAGGTCTTGAAAGTCGAATCATTCGTGACTTCCGGGGCGGGTTGACCTCGAAGTGGAATGAGATGGTAAGCGAGGTCATTCCCGCGAGACAGCTGACGAAGTTCCTTGCGAGATAGGCGGGAGAATGCTGCTTCTGATGGGGCCAGCAGGATGTATGGACCTTTTTCTGTAAAAAATATAAGAGTGATTTTAAGGGGATACTGCAGTATTGCAGGAGAGGAGCCTAGTACACTGTGTAATTGCTACTACTCACTTTATCTTTAAGCATATAAAGTTCGCCTTAAGCTCTTTTATTTCAGGGCATCGAAGGTGTACTGAGACACAAAGTTTGGCGCATTAAGACAAAGTCTGGTGCAGCACTAAGACATAATGTCTGGCGCAGAAAGACACAAAGTCTGGTTCACTAGTACACAAAGTCTGTTGTTGTACAATACGTTACCGAAACAATTATCGGGTGTATTAAAGTTCAGGTAACTGTACGCTAACACTAATATGCAGATTGAAGGTCAAAGGTCACAACCAATTATTTAGAATGACTCTCCTAAGTCTCTTTCGTTCCTGCACGTAAGAAAAAATTCTCAAATGTCATGACTGTCGATGAGCAGTTACTGTTAGATTGATGCGAACGGTTGCATCCAGAATGCAGTCTGTGCAACAGTCACTCCTAACTGCTGCAATAATATTGATAAAGCAAAGACTAATTATTGCAGGTAAAAGTCCTGGGGCTTCAGTTCATGAACCTCCTCCCCTGCAGGATACTCAAGGCGATGTCTGGACAAACTCTCAGTGTTCGAACACAAGAACAAAGGTTTAAAACAACCTCCACAAACGCTAGTAAGGTTAGGTTAGGTCCGGGCCATTTAGAACATCATGAACATCAACACTGCTCGAGAAAGCGAGCTAGTTCGAGACAATGCAATGAATGAACAAATCCACAGAGGGCCGTGACGAGGATTCGAACCTACGTCCGAGAGCATCCCAGACGCTGCCTTAATCGACTGAGCTACGACATGGTAAAAAGAATTACTTAGAATGACATTTTACCATGTAGCTCAGTCGATTAAGGTCAGCGTCTGAGATGCTCTCGGACGCAGGTTCGAATCCTCGTCACGGCCCTTGTGGATTTGTTCATATGATGCATCTATTGTGATTTCTGTGTACTCACCTAGTTGTACTCACCTAGTTGTGCTTGTGGGGGTTGAGCTCTGGCTCTTTGGTCCCGCCTCTCAACCGTCAATCAACAGGTGTACAGGTTCCTGAGCCTACTGGGCTCTATCATATCTACACTTGAAACGTCGAAATGTGTGTAATGCAATCTTTGCTACATTATGAATCCCTAGAGACTCACCTCCAGAGATGAGGAAGTTGAGGAGCCCTGAGGTCTCCAGGAGGATGAGGAGAGTGGTCAACCCCTCACGTTGCAAGGTGGCAACCACGCCCTTATCGTCCGGACTCCCACTCAGTCGAAACACCGTCGCGAATCGATCTATCGACGTCAGTGGGTCGAGTGGGGCTTCGTCTCGTACCGTACTGAGGGTGTATTAGAATGGAGATAATTAGCACCATAATAGTTTGAAACTCAACAATGTCATTAGGATATATACAATTGGGGTTTTCAGAGGCTTAGTAACAACCTGTCTTGTTACAATTTACGTCTTATGTGCACTCAGGCTAAAAATCGACGTAATTCTAAAATCGGCTCACGAAAGTGACGTATTGATCCGTTTTCTGTTTTGGGTCCTCTGGCTTAGGCTGTCAGGTTAGGAGAGGAAACTTTCAATTAACAGTTTTCATGACGTTTTGTAACCTTAGGAGAAATTCCTGGCCTCCTAACCTACCAGAGGACCCTTAACTTGCTGTTTTGGGGGAAAAATTCAAAATTTAATTTGAAAATAAATTTCCATTTTGAATTAGGTTGATATTTGGCCGTAGCGCATACGAGGGAAGAGCGACGTAATTTGTGAAAGGACAGGTTGTAGGGGCTCCTTAGAACTCTGTTTAAGAAGTTCTTGTGAACGCTAAGATAGTTAACAGGGGCGAGATTCACGCAAGCACTTACGAACGTGTACATCTTTTCTCAATCTTTGACGGCTTTGTTTACATTTATTAAACAATTTACAAGCATGAAAACTTGCCAATCAACTGTTGTTATTGTTATAAACAGCCTCCTGGTGCTTCGGAGCGCATTAACTGTTTAATAATTGTAAACAAAGCCGCTAAAGATTGAGAAAAGATGTACAGGTTCGTAAGTGCTTTTGTGAATCTGGCCCCAGGACTCCGACGTATATTAAGGAAACTTGCAGGATGACCGGGGGTGTGTTAAGGATATTAGTAGGACGCCCAGATGGATGGAGGAATAAAAGGACGCTGCCAAGTCGCTTGGGGGAGTATGTTGATCTGTATCTCTTGGACCCCCTCCTTTGCCATTCTAGAAAAGTCCAAAGATCATTTTACTAGATCCTTACAGGCCCTAGACAAGCCACAGCCCTAAAGCACCTAGATAACATCAAAGGAACCCTATGTATTGACCATGTCGTAGCTCAGTCGATTAAGGCAGCGTCTGGGATGCTCTCGGACGCAGGTTCGAATCCTCGTCACGGCCCTTGTGGATTTGTTCGTCTTTAAACCCCGAAATATATTAAAAATGTATACTAAAATGATATATGTTTAACTTATACGTAACTTTAACATGCAAATAGTGATACAACAGAGAAATTAGTAACTTAGAGTTTCCTGAAGCAGCGGTGAAGGGGGAAGAGGGCCAAAACGGTGCCACCTAAAGGCTCTATCTTCCCTACAACTCTCACGTCTTGGACAGCAAACAGGTATAGAGTGTGTCGAGAGGGCCAAGCTGAAGGCCCTCGAAGACCCAGACGCCCAAGCTACTCCTACTCAAGACACTCTGATTCGACGCCTCTGAATATGTTTAGACTAATTTTTTTTTACTATTATTATTTTTCTACCACAGACGTGGCCAGACATTTACAATGCTAACCATCATATATATAGATTTTTTCTTCTCTCCTCCATAGACAGGATGAGACCCAGGTGTCAGACCTAGAGCCAGGCGCTGTGTTCGCGAGGTCATTCAGTGCTGAGTAACTTGACACAAAGTCTAAGTTAAGTCTGTCAAGTTAATTCTGTCAAGTTAAGTCTGTAACTTGACACAAAGTCTAAGTTAAGTCTGTCAAGTTAATTCTGTCAAGTTAAGTCTGTAACTTGACACAAAGTCTAAGTTAATAAGTCTGTCAAGAATGATGAATGAGGAGAAAGCCGTATCGGGCATTGCCATATTTCAGAAATATAATTTGTGGACGAGGTTGACGCCATGATTGAGAAAAAAATATATATTAGATTCATCACAAAACACCGCAGATCCGCCTCATATCTGCAAATCTTCGAAAATCATCAATGCATATTGCACAATGAGGGCGGAGTTGCGCAGGGAGGGAATTATCAGGGGGAAAGCGCCATTAAGCCATTACGACTATATAGCACTGGGAAGGGGTCAGGATAAGGATTTGGGATGGGACGGGGCAGGGAAGGAATGGTGCCCAACCACTTGTGGACGGTCGGGGATTGAACGCCGACCTGCATGAAGCGAGACCGTCGTTCTACCGTCTACCCCAAGTGAACGGTAGATTGACGAAGACAAAAATTGATTAAATTCTGACGTTGTCCACTAACGTTGTTACGTGTCCACTAACATTCTGACGTGTCCACTAACGTTCTGACGTGTTCACTAACGTTCTGACGTGTTCACTAACGTTCCGACGTGTCCACTAACGTTGTGACGTGTCCACTAACGTTCTGACGTGTTCACTAACGTTCTGACGTATCCACTAACGTTCTGACGTGTCCACTAACGTTCTGACGTGTCCACTAACGTTCTGACGTGTCCACTAACGTCGTGACGTGTTCACTAACGTTCTGACGTGTCAACTAACGTTGTGACGTGTTCACTAACGTTCTGACGTGTCCACTAACGTTCTGACGTGTCCACTAACTTTTTGACGTGTCCACTAACGTTCTAATGTGTCTTCTAACGTTCTAATGTGTCTCCTAACGTTTTGACGTGTCCACTAACGTTCTGAGGTATCCACTAACGTTCTGACGTGTCCACTAACGTTCTAACGTATCCACTAACGTTCTGACGTGTCCATTAACGTTCTCACGTGTCCACTAACGTTGTGACGTGTCCACTAACGTTCTCACGTATCCACTAACGTTCTAATGTGTCTTCAAACGTTCGAACCCTTCTCGAACAGTGCTTCGTTCGTATTCTTTGTTCGAATCCCACCAGTGAAAATGTTCCATCCACGTGCAACATATATATATATATATGTTGCATATATATATATATATATATATATATATATATATATATATATATATATATATATATATATATATATAAAACTTAGTTACGCAGCCCAACCAATTTCTAACTTATTTTTATATATAAGGAAATTCTTAGATCCATGTAAGAGGTCCAGAGATCGTAAATGCACACGTAAGTGCCTTTCCCCAACGTTTGATAGATATCGTACGTGCGTGTGGGCGCTCTGGCAGGCGCGCTGCTCAAGGTAACAGCCATCCCGTTAACTGTCTTCCCCTCCCAAGACCAGATATACATAACAAGGCCATTCATCCTTAAGGACCCTGACAGGGACCCCTCGTGTTTACATTATTATCTGTTCTTTTCACGGGATCGCCATAGCCCGTGCTGCTTCTTGGGACTTTTTGTTCCAAGTAGCGAATGTTAAACAAGAACATATCTGTTCTCCGGTCGGCCGAGCGGATAGCACGCTGGACTTGTGATCCTGTGGTCCTGGGTTCGATCCCAGGCGCCGGCGAGAAACAATGGGCAGAGTTTCTTTCACCCTATACCCCTGTTACCTAGCAGTAAAATAGGTACCTGGGTGTTAGACAGCTGCTACGGGCTGCTCCCTGTGTGTGTGTGTGTGTGTGTGTGTGTGTGTGTGAAGGGGACGACGGAAAATGAGATCAAACCTACCTATGACCATCCCCGGCCGAAGACCAGTCACCCTGCAAAGTTTGGCTTTAAGCCTCTGACCTCCATCCACGAACATTCTCTTCTACAGAACATTGATTTACTGTGAGTGATCACGTTACCTTATTGTCAAAGATTCGCTACCTGAAACAAAAAAGTTCCAAGTAGCACGGGCTATGGCGAGCCCGGAGTACGTTACCTTGCTCGGAGGCGCGCGAGGCGATGCTCGCGCGCGTAGACGTCCTCAGGGCGGGGGCTGAGCTTGAAGCCACGCGGTAAAGTCAAAGTTCCTACTCGACTTCGAAGTACCGGGTCGAAGTCCCCAAGACCCTTCAAGCCTGGGAACTCCAGTTGGCGCCTCACACGCTCCTGGGGGGAGGAGCATGATTAGGTGAGGAGCTACTTGGGAGCATGATTAGGTGAGGAGCTACAGGTAGGAGCATGATTAGGTGAGGAGCTACTTGGGAGCATGATTGGGTGAGGAGCTACAAGTAGGAGCATGATTGGGTTATATTATATATTATATATAATATAGTACACCAAGATCTTTGTACACCAGAGAGGGAACTATCAGGGGGAAAGCGCCAAGCCATTACGACTATATAACATTTGAAAGGAATCAGGATAAGGATTTGGGATGGGACGGGGCAGGGAAGGAATGGGGCCCAACCATTTGTGGACGGTCGGGGGATTGAACGCCGACCTGCATGAAGAGAGACCGTAAACTCTACCGTCCAGCCCAAGTGGTTAATGATCCTCCCTGAATGATTCTTTGAACAATACGCGAACTGCACCTTGTATCGCGTATGTATCTACGTTACCTAATTCCCGGGTACCTACTTACTGCTAGGTGAACAGGGGTATTAGGTGAAACTTGCCCAATCGTATTTCTGTCCCACCCGGGGAACCCCCGATTATGGGTCGCGAACGCAGCCAACTGCGTATAACTCCTTGGAGCTTCGAGAGGTGATCCATTTGGAACAGCAAAGAAAACGGAGTATATGTTTGTATACAACACAATTCATACACCCTGAGCATACATAGAATTGCGAATACACCCCCCACATGGCCACGAGTACATCCACATGCATACAGCTGCTATCATGCATACGCCAATAGAGTTATCCTGGCGTCACAGAACGGCCGATGATAAGAGATATTAGGTGCGTTGAACGCTCACCATATTTAGTGCAGTCCGCCTCTCTGTCTGCCGCCCTGCCCAAGGTTCATATTGTTAGTAGGACTGAAAGGTCAAAATTCAAGGCTTGGCGCTCGTATCTGGGTACTTAACTCCACCTTATACTTTACCCTTATATTCACGACGCCCTCATCCCCCAGAAGCTGTCATTATACTTTCATTATCCTGATACTGCCTTATACTTTCATTATCCTGATGCTGCCTTATACTTTCATTATCCTGATACTGCCTTATACTTTCATTATCCTGATGCTGCCTTATACTTTCATTATCCTGATACTGCCTTATACTTTCATTATCCTGATACTGCCTTATACTTTCATTATCCTGATGCTGCCTTATACTTTCATTATCCTGATGCTGCCTTATACTTTCATTATCCTGATACTGCCTTATACTTTCATTATCCTGATGCTGCCTTATACTTTCATTATCCTGATACTGCCTTATACTTTCATTATCCTGATGCTGCCTTATACTTTCATTATCCTGATGCTGCCTTATACTTTCATTATCCTGATACTGCCTTATACTTTCATTATCCTGATACTGCCTTATACTTTCATTATCCTGATGCTGCCTTATACTTTCATTATCCTGATGCTGCTCTTATACTTTGTCATTATCCTGACTCCTGACTCATATTCATCCAATCATCATAATCCTCAATGAATCAAATCCGCTCGATTCATCTCTTCAATTTTGGTTTATCCTTGTCTTCCACCACTGTTATTCTTACGTCTTGATTCTCTGTTGCGAATTATGCTGCCCGTTCTCTGAGTAAATGATTTGGCTGAGACGTTAATCACCTTGTTAGGTCACCTGGGTAATTATCTAGATATTTGTGTCTGAGAGCATATTTCCGTTGCAATAACAGTCTACTGGTAAACAGGGAAATGAACTTTTGTTTTAAAGAGATAATATTCTCGTGTTGTAACTGTATTGTATTATAACTCGTTAGTTTTAATTATATATATGGTTTAAAATTGCTGTTAGTTTAAAATAGTATATGGTTAAATCGTTTTCTATGAAAAAAGAACTGGAGATGTACATTTTCTTTAATCTCAAAATTCTAGGGGACACTCACACAGTTTTTGAGTTGTATATTTATACATGTTTGAAAATAATACACTGGTTTAATCTATCTTGGGTTGATGGGAAACGAAAATCTTCAATATCCTTTCCTCTTTTAATCATGTCTATTTGTGTGCTTCACAGCGCGTTAAAACACGACACACACACAGTTAACTCAGAAGAGTTAGGGGGGACATGATCACCACATTCAAGATTCTGAAGGGAATTGATAGGGTAGATAAAGACAGTCTATTTAACACAAGGGGAACACGCACAAGGGGACACAGGTGGAAACTGAGTGCCCAAATGAGCAACAGAGATATTAGAAAGAACTTTTTTAGTGTCAGAGTGGTTGACAAATGGAATGCATTATGGGGTGATGTGGTGGAGGCTGACTCCATACACAGTTTCAAGTGTAGATATGATAGAGCCCAGTAGGCTCAGGAACCTGTACACCTGTTGATTGACGGTTGAGAGGCGGGACCAAAGAGCCAGAGCTCAACCCCCGCAAGCACAACTAGGTGAATACAACTAAGTGAACACAGACACTTTATTATAACTGTAATAAGTAAGGAGAGCAAGTGGTGGTTTAGGATAGTAAAGTGTCGTCAGAGGAACACATAAAGAACATTGTGAGAGGAGCGTATGTGTCACTTTCCTACTTCACACTTGCTCTTAATTATATGGATGGTGAAATACTGAAGAAACTGTTCATGACCTTCGTCAGACCAAAACTGGAATATGCAGCAGTTGTATGCTGCCCAAATCTCAAGAAGCACATCAACTGGAAAAGATGCAACAGCATGCTACAAAATGGCTTCCAGAACTGATACACAAGAGTTATGAGGCGAGACTAGAGGCGTTAAACATGCCAAAACTAGAAGAAGGAAGAAAAAGAGGTGATATGATCACCACTTACAAAATACTAACAGAAATCGACCAAATTGACAAAGAGGTAATCCTGAAACCAACAACTTCCAGAACAAGAGGACACAGATTCAAGCAAAGGAAACAAAGGTACCGAACAAAAAATTGAAAGTTTTATTTTGCAAACAGAGTGGTAGACGGTTGGAACAAGCTAAGTGAGAAAGTGGTGGAGGCCAAAACCGTCAGTAGTTTCAAAGCGTTATATGATCAAGAGTACTGGGAAGACGGGACACCACGAGCATAGTGCCTGTAACTATGCAACTGTAACCATCCCGTAACTATGTGTGTGTGTAATTACTTACGTAAACATTGTTTGAAAGTCGTGGAGAAACAAAACACATTAAATTGAGTGAGTGAGAGAGAGAGAAAGAGAGAGAGAGAGAGAGAGAGAGAGAGAGAGAGAGAGAGAGAGAGAGAGAGAGAGAGAGAGAGAGAGAGAGAGAGAGAGAGAGAGAGAGAGAGAGAGAGAGAGAGAGAGAGAGAGAGAGAGAGAGAGAGAGAGAGAGAGAGAGAGAGAGACTAGGAAGGGAGTTATCAAGGGAAAGCGCCAAGCCATTACGACTATATAGCACTGGGAAGGGGTCAGGATAAGGATTTGGGATGGGACGGTGGCAGGGAAGGAATGAGAGAGAGAGAGAGTGATCCTAGGGCCTCTCTCAACACCAACCCCGCTACAGCAGCGCCCACGAGGGCCTGATGACCCTCACAGTGTGTACACACTGCAAGATCCTTCCTATCATTTGTTGACTTTAGTACTGGGTTCGAGCCCCTTAACGGGACCCGTGGCGCTAGTCACGAAGCCCGTTAATCCTCAAACAATTAAATGCAAGTAAATTGCCACTTAAAATGATGTTCTTGGACTGGAACTCGAAATATTTTGTTAGATAAATTAGTTATTCAAATTGCAATGTAAAATAATTCACTGGCATTAGAAAGTAGAATGATTCGTGGATATTGACATCAATGAGTCGTTGATATTGATCAAGAAAAAATTGTTTGAGGTTGACCTGTATAATGATTAATTCAGACTGACAAGTCGGTAAACAGCTGCAACTCGATTTTGATGAAAAAATCCTTACCTAAGACGTGCAGTTAAAAGATATGTATTTATACATGTATATATACATATATAAATACATATCGTGCCCGTGCTACATGGAAATTGTGTTCCGAGAAGCTAAATCTAAAACCACAACCACGATCCCGGATTGGGATCGAAATATAGTCTATATTTCTTCGTTTTTTCAAAATAATGGGTTATTAAATGCATTGATTAGTGGTCTATTGCACTTGCAGACGAGGAGTCACAATAACGTGGCTGAAGCATATTGACCAGACCACAGACTAGAAAGTGAAGGGACGACGACGTTTCGGTCCGTCCTGGACCATTCTCAAGTCGATTGTGAATCAAGCCATTCACAATCGATTTGAGAATGGTCCAGGACGGACCAAAACGTCGCTGTCCCTTCACTTTCTAGTATGTGGTTTGGTCAACTCTATTGCACTTCATTCTCATACATATATCACAGGAGACAAAGGAGTCTAAACAACCATTCAGCCTGTCTTTCATCCTACAAGATCGCTCGTACTTAGCCATTAGCCATACAGCTTACAAATCTCACTCATTCATTCTTCATTCATTCGTTCAGTGATTTATTCTACTTGACTCCCTATGCCCCCCCCTGTATGCCCCAAATGCCTCGGCCATTAGAGGAGTAATTTACGCGTCGTCCACACACACAATGCCTCAATTTGCATAGTTCAGTCATTCCTCTCTACTGTGCCTTTAAGCGACTTTGTTTCTCAAGTCCATCAGATCTTATTCAAAGTTCAGTTTGCCACAAAGTGTTGTTGTGTTTATGGCTCGATGTGTATTGACGTGAAGATTAACGAGGCCCTTGAACAACGGTTATCGTTTTCGCTTCCTCGCTAGATATAGCGAGCTCCGGATCGCTATTTCTTTAAGAGCCGGTGTAAATGTTCAGGGACCACATTCACAAAGCAGTTACGCAAGCACTTACGAACCTGTAAATCTTTTCTCAATCTTTGGCGGCTTTGTTTACAATTATTAAACAGTTAATGAGCTCCGAAGCACCAGGAGGCTGTTTATAACAATAACAACAGTTGATTGGCAAGTTTTCATGCTTGTAAACTGTTTAATAAATGTAAC